ATGTACCAAGTCCACTGTCAGATGCTGGGAATCATGACAACTACTATGGCAGACGACTTCGGACTAAGTGAGTTCTACATAGTCCCCCTGACGACAAGACCAAGTTGCGACAACGGGGTCAACCCACTTCGGTGCTTAGATTATCTGTCAGTTCGCGAAAAGCAGTAGCAGTATTAACTTGTTTTTTTCCAAGAAGTGCTAGTCATAATATCATTTTCTTTTATATTGTTTATGCCAGCAGTATCATAATGCGTGATGTTGTTCTTGGTTGTCACTATGAGAATCTTGGTTGTTTAATTCTCATCAAAATGCACTCTTTAGACCTGACAAAAGGTGTCACAGTCAGACTACCTAGTAAGGGCCCTCAAAAAACAGATTTTCGAAGTAGTTGAAAATCTTAAATCAGTTGTCATGGGCCAATTGAAATCCTACCTTCAGGGTCCAGAAGACGCGGGATGCCCAACTCATCTTCGGCGATCTGGAAAGCTCTCTCTAAGTTTTCCGAGTTGGTGCGCTCGTTCAGCGTAGAGATCTCAATAAGATGAGGATCAATGCTGTGGATTAGAGTGCTGAGGGCATGACCGTCTCGCCAGCTGGTTCCGAAATCTCGGATCTCGACTCCAGTACTGATGATAGTAGAGGATTAAAGGGAAAAATGGGCTATTTTATCTTTTTTCGAAGCGAGCTGTATGAGTCTTCTACTTATTATTGACCCTATTATCTTATGTGAATTGTGTTCTGTAGTATGCATATTGGCAATATTGTGGAAGGTTGCTCTCAATAGGGAACCACAATCAACTAAACGAGCTTTTAAACCCAATTTCAAAAAAAATAAAGTAACCAATAGGATATTCTCTAGCTTTGCCCGCTCTCGCAGCAAGTCATTACTTAGAAGTAGTCTGTACTATGTATTGTAGATCCGTATCACTTCAGAATCATGGTATATGATGATAATGGCAGAGGATACAGGGCAAGATATGTTTTTCTGAATCTCCTCCTTATAAAGACAAGTTGAATTAAAAAGCTCCGATGAGCTCAAAGCAAGTCAAGAAAAATACCAGACAAAAGGTCCGACAACCGTGGCTGTCGCACCAATATACTTACTTGTGAAGTTTAGAAACTAGCTTAACAACCCATGTCAGCAGAGCTTTCCGACCAGAGGCACGAGCATCTCTGGCCATGTGAGCAGGACTACTCGCTTCAGTGGAATCAGAAATGCTAGTATCCAAAATATCGGTAGCAAATGAGTCAGGCTTGGACGTAGTGAGAGCGGCAGCTGGGGAGGCGAGGAGCGAATCATGTCCTGAGATGGCAGGCTCTCCTATCTAAAACATAAATAGTTTAAATGTGGTTCGAGTTTGATTAATGCATAACCCGATGCTATAGTAAGATAGTAAGTAAAAAAACTTTGCGAAATAAGGGTCTAGTTAGGTATAAACAATAATATAGTACATCATGAAGGTAGGTCTCCCAACCATTAATAGATGGGAAGGAAGTGCCGATGCGCATAATAATTACTTACGATGTGATTAAGAAACAAGAAATCAGTTCCAACATATTTAGAGTCAATAGGCAAACGTCGCATACACACAGGAAAGTATAGTATAGAATCTTATTTGTGATGGTGATTTTTTTTTCAATAGCCAACCTCAATCTAAATTAACTTCAACTGTATGAAGCGATAAGTTTGAAAAGAGTGGCCAATGCTAAATGTGCTGTAGTACCAATTTTGAGGTGAATTTGAAAAACACAGGAGGCAAAAGGACCCACCAAAAGTGACTTAAAACTTCCTTTACGGCAACTTTTCATCGAAGATTATCAATGCTCTGAAATCCGTCCTCATGTCGATGGAACTAAGATTTTGACATAGATTAAAGCAATCAAGGTACACAAAATCAAATGTGTATAATAGCTGTATTCGCACTATTTTTTAAGGTAGTTAAAATTTCCAACAATGATATGAATAGACCTTACTTTTCTTCTTTTAATTTCGCATTGCCTTGCTTCCAGAAAGGTATTCTGATACAGGCTGGACTGCAGTTTAGACCTCGACCAGGTCTCATCGGCATCCCCAACGGGACTTGAAATTTGAAAGTGCAACATTACTTATTCGAAGGTATGAAGATCAAGATGGTGTAGCCTTTTGTGTGGTCGCAGTCTTCTTTCGTTGTATAGAGGTTGTTTGACATTGTTTTCGCAACTTGGTCATATTGGTAGGAATATTTAGATGAACGCACCATTGTATGCATGATAATTTCCAAATTAGGAGCGTAAACCATTTTGTATACATAATCTACTGGGAGTTTCGAAAGCCTATTCAATAAAGAAAAGACTATCTCTGTCCAACCAAGGGAGACTAAGATCAAATTAAATTCCACATCAACTTGGACTTCAATTATTAAATGTTGTGAATTGAGAACCCCGACCTGGAGTGAAGCAATATACGATTTCATAATCAGTGTGAGGGTTAATTTGGTAAAAGTTGGATGTAGGCCTTCAACAA